TATGAGGAAGACTATTTCCATAATGGAGCGCAGCAGAACGTGTATGATGTATATAAGTAGCACTTTACTGGAGAGTTGAGTTGGATCCTCCTCTACCTCCTTCATTTCTCCTTCCAGCTGACTCCTCTCCTCATATTCATCTTCCTGCGAGCTCCAGTCCTCCTCTCCAGAAGTATTATCATAAGGATTACCAGTATCCAGCATCGTGTCTTTATCGATTCTTAAAGGTCCCTTTGTTTCAAGCAAATGTGAGGCCTTGGGTACCAAATTCACCTTCTTAACTGCAGGACTTTCATTCTTGGTAACTTTCTGCAAGACATACACTATGTAGAAAATTGACGGCGTAGAGACGAGGACAATCTGAAAAACCCAAAAGCGCAAGTGGGAGACAGGGGCGAAGGTGTCATAGCAGACATTATTGCAGCCAGGCTGCAGGGTGTTACAGGTAAACTTGGACTGCTCGTCACTGTAGACGGCATCCCCTACAAGGGCCACGAGCATGATGCGGAAGATGAGCAGCATCGTCAGCCAAATCTTGCCGATGACGGTTGAATGGTTTTGAACTTCTGTCAAGAACCGACCAAGGATGGACCAATCCCCCATTTCTAAGGACACACCAAATATGAAAAGATAGATATAGTCAGTAAATTATTAATTTATCTGAGCAGACTGAAAAAAAAAATGCTTTCTCTTCAGTCAGAAGATTCTTCGAACTGCTGTACTACAGGATATAACTCCTGACCTCCTGGGGCAGCAGTTATATCAGCATCTTCAACAGACTTTTGAAGATAATTGTCTGAGCTGCAACATTTAATTTCACTATGTAATTAGTAATGACTTTTTGAAATTCAATCACAAATCAGTAAGTATCCAGTCTCTTTGACTTTGAAATTTACTTGGAGCTCTCACTGTTTTTTTGTTTTTTTTTTTGGGTGGAGCAGTAGCTGAAACATTTGTCAGCAATTTCTCCATAGTAATCTTATTCATGATTTCCCACTATCAGCATTTTATGAAGACAAAATTATAATTCAGATGCATATTATTATTATTATTATTATTATTATTATTATTATTATTATTATTAGCAGTTATTTTTAACATAATATTTCTTTTTAAAGACCAATGACTTACAATTATCCTCAATTTCTTATTTTCACAAATGTGGAAGAATGATGAGGGAGATGATTATAAAATTCTGCATATTTTTTATGTTAATTAAACACCGTGTGGTTAATTAAAATTAATCAATAGGTTATCAAGGTAAAATTAAATCAGGCCAAAAATATCTAATATCTCCAGGTCAATGTAATTTTTTTTTTTCAGAAAGAACTTACCTTTGGAGAGTCTGAGTCTTTTATATTCAGAGGAGGATAAATATTAGAGGACACGACGCGCATAGCTTTATTTTCATTATGAAGCCTGTTGCTGGATGTTTTCGTGTCTCTTGAGCAGAAAAAGCAGAGAATGGGCTGACCACACATATTCTCTTACTCTGACTCAAGCGCTCATTGCACTGTATGTGAATAATGGCTTTCAATGTACAGTGGGACAAAGATTGAAATGTACAATGGGGGTACCTTCACTGAACAGCCATTCACTGATGAGCAGAGAGTTCAAAGAATGCACTGGAAAGAGAGTGCATAATGCAGATTCATCTTGATTTTACAGGGTTGGGTGTTTTTTATGGTCTTATTAAAGGTACCTATCCAATCCCTTGAGATTAACATAAACAATAACCATGCTATTTATGTTTAATGACAGCAAGGTTTCTATAAAGTGTTCTGGAGAAACATCTTTCACTTTTGTGAAATTACTCCAGTAATGTTAAGCTGTTGTAAAATTTAACTTAAAGGGAAATACACTATATCTTGAGCGAAACTGAAAAGTACAATGCAGAATTCCTGCTGTGATACCTGGAGCTGTCAGCATCATAATGATGGGTGCTCTTCTTCAACAGAAAAGCATTCAGATTTTATAGGTAGTTGATCAAACCAAATGCAACGGAATCCTGAAAAGATTATATATAGGTAAAAGTTTTGAGATTGAGGCAGAGACTGACATTACAGGAGGATGACAGCTGTAAACACAAAGTCGGCATATGGTGGGTTATGATAAGAGCAAAGTAGTTCTACAGGGGATTGTCTTAGAGGGCTTGATACAAGTCTCTGTATCCTTTTAGGTCTACTGCAAGGTTTGGCAGTGTTTTGAGTTAGTTTATCAAATAAAAGCAACAAAAAGACAGTAAAATCTAAAAATCTATATTTTAAGGACAGAAATTACTTTGTGGCACTTTGTGAGTCAAAAGGATTGATTGGGGAAAAGATCAAGCAGAGTGAAAAAGAATCGTTCTCGTCATCACGGTCTCAAACAACTTTTTCCTTTACTTTTTATGAGGCTATTTGGCGTCAAACATTATGCAAGGAGTAAACAACTCTTTCCATTGATGTACATTTCAACATTTGCACATTTACCTTGGTTGCAAAAAAAATTTCCTTCCCTTCAGAAAACAGGAAACTATCATCGTTATTTAAAAAAAACCTTTTTTGTTTTGTTTTTTCGCTGTGGAGGCAGTGGTGACAGGCATTTTTGTTTCCTTAAAAAAGTTTTAAAAATTGGCAACATAAGTTGTTTGAATTGAACCTGGGGGCATACTGATATAAAAAAATGTCTGAGATCGTCTGGTGCACAAGTGCAACCTTGTTTCATACCTGAACACATGCAGAATATTTTTGTTTACAATACAAAATTTTGTAGCATAATTTCATAAGGTTTCACCAAAACAAAACTCCCAGCTGTCACTAAACTCTGCTACTTGGCAACAATGCGGTTTCTGGTATAGTGCAGAAAGAAAGGTAGTCTAAACCAAAACTTGATATCTTCCAACATATTTTTTTCCAACACCAATAAAGCCCTCAGATCACTCTACAGCTAACTAAAACAGTCACCAGACATGACAGCCAGCTGATTGCAAATATAACCAGTACTGGAGAAAAATCAGCAACGTCTAAATGCCCGCAGCAGTCAATCAGTCAGTCAGTCAGTCAGTCAGTCAGTCAGTCAGTCAGTCCAAAAACACTTTTCTTTTTTTTTTTTGCAGTTTGCAAATTGTGAGTTCACTAGCCAATTTACTTTTATTTATTTATTTTGATAAGTAAAGATTGTTATATTCCTTTATGTAACACAAAAAGCAAAGTAACAACTGCCTTTTTGCAATTGTTATTTTGCAGCTGTTATATTAATCTTAACACGCCTTAGGTGGTTCAGTCCTCATATCTATGATAAATCTTAGATGTGTTGAAGGACAAGTACTTGCCAAGCATGATACAGTCCAACATCACATCAGCTTGTTTGTTTAAGCCTGGCCATTTATAAGCCTCCCCTGAGGTGCAATCAAAGCATCACTGAAGTACCATATTGTTGTCTTTGCTCCAGATCTTAACAGTATGTGATCAGTGTCTTTTATTTCTTCAAAAACCTCTGGTATGTAGGCTGGAGACATGCCACACTGATCAGATGTCAACAAAACAGAAAGCAGTGTAGACCCCTTTCACAATGGCACAACATAAGTCCAGTGTCTTTATATTTGTGACAATTATATATTATTTCTGAAGCCTTATGAGTATTTGTTTGAGGAGTGGGGGTGAATATACATCATTGTACAAAAAATCTAATCATCAAAAAAGTTTTCAGTGATGTCCTGATTTTTAGGGATGCACCCATTTCAAAAAGTCTTTCTTGCTGCCAACTGCATGTTTTGATGATCGAATGTTCTCATCAGAAATCAACAACGTAATTACAAAGAAAGTAAACAAATAGTTTCTTGATTTTTAGCTTAAAATATTTCATTTTATTTTATTCTCTTTTTGGTCAGAAGTGGATATTGCTATTTCTGTTTGGTTGGATTTTTCTATCATGTTTACGATAATGACAAAATCGCTAGCAAGGAGAAATTCATTTTGCCAGATAGGCACCAAATTCTGCAATCGTTGTGAACTGGCACTGTAGATGTAATTGCTTCTTGTGCTTGACAGGTGTTCTCCCACATATTTTGTCACAAAACAAAATGGAATGAATAGATATTTTTAATTTCTGATGACTTAACGGGGATAAACATTTTTTTTTAAAGTCCTACGCACTTGGAGAAAAAAATTGTTTTGAAATAACGGTAGTGCCATCACAGAAAGAAGCATATACTTGTGCAACTGTATATGCAACTAAAGTGAATACTCTTTAATAGCTAAGTATTATTCTTAAGTTGTAAAGCTGTCCTTACTTATAGTCTACTTTGGATTCAATGTGCCTGTTCATACTTACCTCAACTTGCAATAAAATCTTAATTTCTCTATCTACATTTCTATTTCTATTGTAGAAATATCTACAATAAATGATATTTCAAATCAATTTATTTCTAATACTATAGATTTTTTTGATAAGGACTTCAGCTTATGACTTTTTTAAAGGTTTTTTTTTTTCTGGACAAAAGTGATCCGTTTCTGAAGTGAGGAGCTATTTGAAGCATTCATGACATTTTATTCAGTCCTAAAGGTTTCTAATCAATAAGACTCTCTAAGCCTGGAGTGCACGGCTTCAGTTGTTTTTATTCAGCCACATCAAAAAATACATGTCAACACCTTCTTCTCTTTTTTTTCTAATTTAGTTGAAAAAGAAAAGTGAAACGTTAACAGAGACTCAGCAATTCCCGAGCCACATGCGACAGCCTAATATAACAAATGCTCCTCAAAGCATCAGTGAAAAAATAAAGAACCCATCCGGAGGGGTGTTCCGAATCCAACCAGACCAGATTACGTCTGAAAGGGGACGCCGGGATTCAAGACATTCGTTGCAAATGCATTTTTGACTCGTGTTTTCAGACGCTATTATTTCTTTCAGTGCCTATAACGCCTCGGACTCACACACAATAACACGAAGTCTGTTGGAAACAGCCAATTTCGCGCTCCCCGCCAAATAGTACGAAAAGTGGTTCAGCCCTGGAGGTTAGCGGAAGTTGTTTCAGCTGCCATGTTTGCTTGCTTTGTTGTAGGCTTCTACTAGCTTTCCTACAGAATCAGTAAGTGTGGAAATGGAGCCGAGCTGGAGTACGTTTCTCTTCCAAGTAAGTTGGCTCTTTTTTTCCGTGGAGGAGGGAGGGAAACCGGGAGAGTTCGCGAAACAACCGCAAAACATTTTACGCACCCGTTAGGTTCGCAGCAAGTTCGTCTTATATATTTGAACGAGTAGCACGAAGAACAAGTAACGAAGCAAAACAATGGTTTATGAATCCAGGCTTCCAGCTGTGAGGCTTGGGAATGACGCTAGAACAAAAAAAAAAAAATCAAATCTCCCCAGTTCCAATGTGGGGGAAAAAAACGGCCTGTGTGTAATTTTTAGATTGTGGATGCGAATTACTTCGAGTGGGAAAGTGAATTTTGGTAAGTTTGTTTGGCTGGTCGAAGCCAGCAAAACATGCAGTATCACTTGAAGTGGGAGCTGGAGACGCCACTGCACCGTTACAATCGAGACAGACCTGTTTTTTTCCCCCCCTCTCTTTGACTGAAGGCTTTGATCGGACGCCGTAGAATAATGAGATAAAACGTCGGCGAACATTTTCTGTGCAGCGTGTGTAGCGAGCTGAACATTTGTACGTTATTCACGCGGACGATGTTAGCAGTCCGCGGGTTAGCCGCCACTGAGATTTACTAACGGCAATTCCCAAGTCCGCGGTCAACTTTCCGCTTGCTTTAGCCGGCTCGCAGCAACTAGCCGAGAAGCTAACGATGTTTAGGCTGCCTTCATTACACTCGAGAGCTAATTTGGCTAAATCTGGGCGAGGTTGCAGTAATGAGCTTGGAGAAACAAACGGTACATAATTTGAAAACCGGCGATGCTTAGTTTTTTTTTTGTGTTTTTTTTTTTTTTGCACATTAATTAGCTATTTATTCAGATGAGCTTTGTGGAAAGGAATTCAAACTATGCAATGCACTAGCTAACAGCAAGAAGCAGGCTGGAAAATTAGCATGGATCATCGCTATTTAAAATGTAAATTTCTCCCAGAAAGTTTAATGCAGATTTTGATTTAAATAATTCCGCTGTCTTTCCACCGTGCATTGAAACGCCATTCTTAAATTTAGTGTAATAAAGTTTTAATGATTTTATGACTTGGCTACGAGTTAAAGGATTTCAAGATATGGAAAAAAATGTGGGATTTTGAATTTGTCAGAAGTAACGGGCTATATTTCACAAGTCTTTTTGTGTTGCTGCTTTTGTCGTTTACTGTGTAAAGGTAATTTTAAAAGTTCGTTTGCTCAGTTTGTTTCCCAACCTGCAACTGTTTTAGTAAGTTCTTCCTGTATATAGATTGATTAAACTCTGTTTTTGAATTTTAACCAATCAATGATGATTTTAAAAAAATAAAAATATTCAGAAAGCAGTGCTGCTTTTTAGCAGCTTAACTTGCACTAAAGAACCTTTCGAGCACAGGTATTACTGTATTTTTCCAGTTGAAAATATTTGAATTAAAATTTTGGACTCTTATTTAACAGATTTTGTTAAATGAGCCTTATGATAAAAAGCCTTCGTAAACCCAAGATTTGACAGAAATATTAAGTGTACTCTCAGTATTTCTTGTTTCAGATTTGTATGCAAAATCTGCAAAAAAATTATTTTATTATTATTTAAACGGATAATTTCATTTGAAAGAACTTGAAATAAATATTCAAACTATATCAAGATTGTGCATCTCAGATTGAATTCTGAAAGATCTACTGCAATTTGAAATCATGGACTACATTTTGTGAACGCTTAAAAAAAATTGTTCTCATGTATGAAATCAGTTTATTTTTGATAAACTGGGCTTTAGATCCTTAAAAATTTTAATTTGATCATGTAAATTCTGGACTATAAAAAGTATAATGTACATAAAAAATTTCCCGCAGTAGGTCCTACTCTTGTCTTTTTTCCTTTTTATATTCCTGGAATATAAATATATATATGAATATATTTGTAAAATAACTTTAGTGGCTTCATTCACTACAAAGTCCACCATTTACTTAACCAACTTGTTTTTATATAATAAAATGTAGCTTGAAGACAAGGATGTAAGTTGTCTAAAAACTAGTTATAAGCAACTTTTATAAAGCTTACTTTATGCAGTAAAAATTGCTTATATATAAATAGCCTAGGAGCATAGGGACTGAACTTATAGACCACAGTTTACATGCATTTACTTGGGTGAACAATATTTAAATTACTTTAGTTAATATAATTTCTAAACTAAGTTATACATTTTTAGGAACTAATCTCTTTTAAATCTAATAACTGCGGTAAAAATCTTACATTTTAATTATTCCACTTGTAGAAACCCTATTATTTGTATATCCTACAGACTACTATGTGGTCAAAAGCAGTTGTAGTAGAATCAAGATCTTTATTTAAAAATTCTACTACAAGTGGTTTTTGGCATTTGATGAGCAGTTATATTTGCACTTTGTTTTAGTTATCTGCCATCCGGCTTGATACATTTTGTGTTATGTACCCCACACTGTTAACTTTCAGAGATCAATGGTGGAAAAACAGACATTGATTTGTTTTGTCAAAGTGCTAATTTTGTGTACCAGCCGGTCACTGAAGGTTTGAAAACCGTTCAAAGCATGTTTCAGAGACTCCTCCTGCACTCGGGCTGCAGCCAAAGAAATCCTTCCTCAAAATCCTAAGCCTATCCCCCTTGAAAAACTTTTTTTTTTTAAATCCCAAAAGCTGTAATATATATATATATATATATATATATATATATATATATATATATATATATATATATATATGTATATATATAAAAAACATAGTTTATATGTATTTTAAAATATTTTTTAAATACATTTTCTATTAAAAAAAAAATTCAGTAAGCCATAAGTTGTGAATGTCTTTGCTGTCAAAATATTTCAGAAAGTAAATTACATACCGTGACCCCCAGATTGTTCTAAAGCATATCGAGTACTTGTTAGACTTTAACCTCTTACTCACCTTCTTTTTAAGTGATGACGAATTTTCATGTTCAGCTGTGCTTGACGTCAGCATTTCAAAGTCCGTTCACTTGTTGCTGTTGTTCATGGCCACCTTTAATCTCATTGGCTTTTCGTAAAACGTCTTAGTGTTTACAACATATAGATTGTTTTTTTGACAAGTTGCCATACAGTTTCATAATCTTTTTAACTGCATATATTGTTATTAGAATTGTTCTTGCCATTTTAATGAATAGCAAGAAAGCAAAAACAAATATACTTATGAATTGTATGCTTTATATTGTGAAAATGTGCTGTTAATAAATTTGATTACACAAAATCCAGTGTTTTAACATAAAAAGATTTTGAGAACTAACTTATTGTCATTCTAAAGGTGCTAATATTAAATAAATTTAAGTTGTACTTTGGTAGTTTTTTTCAGCCTTATGAGAGGAGAACCTTCTATATTTGAGTTAAACGACACAGTGAGGTAACTAAGCATTGCTCAAATCACCCTGCTCTATGATGCAGTGTAAACCCTAACTGAATATATCAGGTATCCCCTAAAAATACTTCCTCGCTTATAGCACATGCTGCAAGTTACATCATCAGCACAGGTCTTTGGTGCCTCGGAAGTTTAGCCAGGTTTACATGTCAAAAGAGGATCAACAACGTATAAAAGTTCTGTTTTCCAAGAACTTGTGTTGACTTTATAAAACGTAGAACAAGAGATTTTGTCATTTTCTTTTTTATTTAATGTTAATTTTACCATGAATAACCCCCTTCAGCTTCAGGCTGTTTTTTCAGCAAGTTCTTGCTAAGACAGGAGCATAATAGTTCTGCAATAGTAGAACAGAAACTCATAAAACAAACTATTTACGTTTTACTCAGCAAACTTTTTGGGTTTTTTTTAATCCGCAGTCCAGAAAACTTTAAAGTCCAATCATGTAATCATATTTACTTTTTTCTTCTCTTTGATTTCTTAGTTTTTCCTGCACAACTTCTGGTTTTGTATTGGCCAAGCAGCTGTAAAGTGCGGCACAAAAGATTGAGGAAAGGCGGTGCATAATCAGACCATGCGCTCAATTGAAGTCTACAGTGGCCCACGAAGCCATCAGGACACTCCCTCCATTTTGATGTTATTTATGAGGGAGCAGCCCCAGTTGTCAGAGCACATTTGTGTCAAAATGGTCAGAGCTGCATGAAGGCACAGCAGCTTACAGGCCCTGCACCTCTGTGTACAGGCCAGGCTGTTTGCAGTGGCATAAGCTTCACAAAGAGGTTTCCCGACTGGTGTCCCCCGCCCCATCACACACACAAACACACACCACCCCTGGTGTGCCAGCCGACGGGGTTGCATTGGCATGATGATGACTAATCCTGGAAGGTGGCAAGTGTAAGCAGGTGCTCAGACAAATGGGTGGTGGCATGCTCTACGAGTTCCCAGGTCCCAGTGCGCATGAGGGAATGACGGCTAGTTCAGCCGAGTGCTATGTGGATAAACAATGTCTCTGTCTCATGAATAGATGAGCCAAATCAATGAAGATGAGCATACAAAGATCCCCCGCTGAGGCCGAGTGCATCACTGCTCAGATTTGTGTCTATCACAATGGGCTAGATGACATAAGGAGGACATTGTGTGGTTCATTTTTCTTTTTTCCATCCCGTCTCCTCTTTTGCCACTCCTGTCTTGGCTGGCCTTCTTGGATGGATGATTGGACCTTAAAGGGAAAGGTCAAGTATGTTAACTTGCCATCTCTTGCTGGTGGTTGGCAAGGTGGTTTTCCTGACTTTCCACTTACTGTGTTAAGTAAATGATGCATGTTATACATAGTTACTTATTTTTACAAGTACTTAGCTATGCTTTAAAAATAAGTTATTTTTATTTGCAGGAGCTTTCCACTGATTTCAGTAAACAAGTGTACAACTAACAGATGTTTTGGAAGTAACAACACCAATGTTGTTTTGGTTTGAACAACACCAATACAATTTCCAAAATCTCTTGGTTATATTGTATTGACTTACCTTTCCCTGGAAGTCGTATACTAGGCATCCTTGCATTTCTGTGATTCCGATATGTAAAATATACCTATTGGAAGTATAAAAAGTTGCTGGTGTACTTCAGCAACTTTGTATATAAGCAACTTTTTAAAAATTATTTTACTTTTTTTTTGTTATTATTTAATTTGTCTCAGTTTATGCATATTTTCAACCAGCAAAACTTTTGTGATCATATAACCTTATGTAAACAATATTTAGAAAACAAAATTAATCAAGAATATTTAATATTAAGTGTAATTTAATTATTTCAAACAGAAAGGCATGATTTACTCTGACTGAAACATAAAATTATTATATTTATACATAGGCCTGTCACAATAAGCAATAAGTCAGTTAATTGGATGATAAATGAAAACAAGCTCAATTATTTCCATTTGCATAATTTATTGATTTTCTCTTTTCTTGCTTTCCACCAAAAACTGAATGACACGTTTTCATTTGTTGCTTTGTTTATTTTGAATATTTCAAATGTCTTCCGGTTCCAGTGTAAAAAGTTCATTAGAATTGAAAGCTTATTGAGCTTTCAGAATGTGTTCTTGCATTATTATGCCTTTACTATTACATTACTTGGAAAAATGTTTGGTGACCTGTCACAAATCAACAATATTATAATTTATTGCAATAAACTGGGGAAATGTATAATCCAGTAAACTTTTCTATTTAAAAAAAGTATATATATTTATATTTATATATGTTCCAAGGAGGGAGTCGATTTTGACAATTTGCTCTGTGTAGAGTAACAATCTTCAATCTGATGCTTGGAAATGTATGACAGAAAGCATTAGATATTTTGAAAGCACAGCGTTAAAATATTGGTATACTTATTGTCAGTCAGCCTGTCAATAATTCATTATGAAAATGAAAGCCACTTTTTTAGGCAACTGAGCTTCCGCATTGGCTGCACCTTACCCTTCATTTCTCTTGCTTATTAACGTATCAAATATTTTTATCTGTACTTGTATCAGAATCATTCATTTTTTTATACTATCGACTGTAAACTTATTTTTGCCCCAAAGCCGTCTTTGTATTTATTAGATTTCAAACTTTGGAAATCATTAATGTTGATAATTGTACACTTTGTGGGTGGCTGATTTCATATTTTCAAGGCCTCAACATGTAGAAGGACAAAGAGCTGAGTCTCCAAGTGCAGTTTAACGGCCAGTTTTAATAATTAAACACAAGCTTTGATTAGGATTTCGATCTAACCCTTGACATTATATTTAAGGATAATGTGGGGATACAAAGTTTTGTTTTTGCCTCATGTCTTCCACAAAACAAGACATGAGGCAGCTGATTTTAGTTTATGGACTGGGTTTCACAACTGTTGATATTCATTGCTGCTCTGCCATGAGCTCAAACAAAATGCATCGGGTTCATTTCAGTTTGCGTAATATTTTAATGCCTCACTCTGCTCTACAAAGAAGCATACATTCTTCTGTTACAAAGTCAGGATATATAATGAATTGAATATTTGAATTGCAGCCGTACAACTTGTTGTTGGCTACTGCTCATTGTTCTCATCTATTTTTTTTTCCTCATCTATGTTTTGGCAGTCATCCACACTGGCTTGCACCTGCAAAAACCCAGAGAAAATAAAATGGTGCACCAGGCCACAGACAGAACAAACAAATATGCAACTGTGTATTTTATCATCCTATCAAGTTTGGTGACCTGTATTTTTGTGTGTCGAGCTGTTTGCTATATATATATATATATATATATATATATATATATATTATATGTTTTTTTTTTCCTTTTTCTTTTTTTGCTGTTCTTTTTCTCTGAACTGATCCCTGCAGTGGGGCTAATGTCTTGCTCTTCATGAGCCTTCCTGGCAGCTAAGCTGGACTCTGCTATGCCTCTAATTTGGTATGCTTGCTTTGCAGTCACATGATGAATCAGCACCGTTGTGATGGGATCATTTTTCATCCAGTATATTTGGATTGTTTTCACATCAGTTGCGCGCCGCGTCGGCCTCGTTATTGACGGACCCCGGTGCCCACTTTGTATTCTGTTAAATCTTCCTAATGCTTTTCATCGAGTTGTCAAAGTTGATTCATGGTTCTTCGGTGGCAGCTTCCAGTGGTGAAACAGCTGTCAGCAACAACTTGCTTTTTCTCCTGCGTACTGGGAGGACGGCTAGATGCTCTGAAATTGCACTACACCCTGCTGCTGTGTGTCAAACGGCACAAAACACTTTTTGAATTGTTTACCTCCAAATGTCTGACATTTCACCTAAACATGTGTGTGTGTTGTGTCTTCAGCAGGCCAATGAAGCCCTCCACCACCAGCACCAGGTGGCCCAGAATAGTCTGCTGCCACTTCTCAATGCTGGAGCAGAGCAAGTTGACCAGAAGCCTGTCCTGCCTATCCAGATAGACCAGAAACCCCCCGTCAGTGCTGCTGAACTTCTGAAAGACAATGTGGCCAGTGGAGGAGGTCAGCGGCCACCGGTGCCTGTGATAAAAAAGGAACACAAAGGCAAAACGCCTTTCGTCTGCGGTTACTGTAACAAGGCCTTCCGAGACAGCTACCACCTGAGACGCCATGAGTCCAGCCACACCGGCATCAAGATGGTATCGCGTCCGAAGAAGACGGCCCAAACCGCCCCCACCATGGTACCCATGATCGCTTCCATGCCACGGGAGAACAACGGCAACTCCTACATCTCTACGGTAGCGGGGATCCTTTCCACGGCGACCACCTCGGTGTCATCGGGCACCAGCATCATGACGTCGTCCGCGATGGGCAACGTGCAGCAGCAAAACGTCCCCAAGAAGCCCCCCAAGCCCGTCAAGAAAAACCACGGCTGCGAGATGTGCGGCAAGGCCTTCCGTGACGTCTACCACCTGAACCGCCACAAGTTGTCCCATTCGGACGAGAAGCCGTTTGAGTGTCCAATCTGCCAGCAGCGCTTTAAGAGGAAGGATCGGATGACCTACCATGTTCGCTCTCATGACGGAGGCGTCCACAAGCCCTACGTGTGTTCTGTGTGTGGAAAAGGCTTTTCCAGGTAAAGATCACTTTTCTTTTAGTTTTTATGTATGATGAGATTAACCCAGTGATAAATTTAGAGGAGCTTTATTTTTTTATTTCCAAATATGTTGCATAGAGCTGATTTATATATTTTTTTCATTAGAAGAACAATGTAACCCCAAATATGAATTCAGAAAAGTATTAGCACTGCACTGCAAAGAAGTTTTGTAACAGATCTTTTCCTTTCGCTATCAGTTTTTGTTTCCACAAATACTATGAATAACAGTTCAACATATTTTTTTTCAAAAGCGGGATCTGTGAAGCAGTCAGGCAGCTCACTGTGCTTCACGGAAACTTATCTAATGTAATAAAATCCTTACAATTAAAACTACAAATAATTACAAGATGTTTCCTTTATTATTTAGTTTAGAGTTTTATACAAAATTGTTCAAACCCCTGGCATATTTACACTTTATCATAAGTTTTAACATAAGTTTATTAAAATGTATAAATTTTTTTACTAACTTTTAAATCACTGGCAGCTGTAGTCCAAACTTGAATCTGTTCAGGGAGCCAACAATGCCAATAAAGATTTTTATCTTGATAATTGATAAGGGTACACATTTTTGACATGTTTTTTTTTTTTTTTTTTTTATGCATAAAATCAGGACTTATCTTTATGTTTTAAGAGATGTTTTTCATTCCAACCAGAAACAAAATTTAGTTTGAGAGTATGAATAATTTTGGGCTTTACTGTAGCTTACCTTTTTTTCTTTAACTCATCATGAAAAGTTTTTCTACAAGATTTTTTTTACCTAATAATTTGAGAGGAGAAAGCTCTTATTTACTTCCAGGTGCATTAAATTGATAACTTATTCCTCTATTCTCATGGAATAGTTCCATATAAAAGTACATGGCTTTTAGTAAAGAATTTTTTTATATATATAATTGTTAAAATTCCCACTATGTACAGAACATCATGAGACAGCTAATTTGTTTGAAGATCAAGCGGTAGTGGAATCAGGTGTGAGGAAAGAGGATGAGTAGTGCCACATAATATTTTGATAGGCAGCGCCGAGACCAGCCCATCTGATTGGTTGTTTCTAATTAGCACCAGGAGTTCAATTTTTTTCTGATTCCTTGTCACAAAACACATATATATATATATATATATATATATATATATATATATATATATATATATATATATATATATTTACACAAGTTACATACTGCAGCTTTAAGCAACCCTTTCATTTATCAAAGGGCCAGAATGTGAAAGAGTAATAGGTGTTGCACAGCTCTGCAGTTTGACAGGATAATTATTATAAAAGTTGAGCTTTTCAAACTTTCATCCGCATCTGTTAGTGATTAACAACATTGGCATGGAAAGTAGATCCTTAACTTTACTGGGAGATTTCCAAATAACCCACTATGTTTTGTGACAGATGGATAAACTGAGTCACTTCACTTTGGATTTTTACCTAAGGACGGACATCCATCACTCTGCTTTAAGTGTTGGCATAAATTAATTTTAAATAAACTTTCAGAAAACTGTTTCTCAAAGTTTCTAATAGATGTGTATTCCCTAACTTCAACACAGCACTGATATTTGTAAAAAGCTCAGTAACAGCTTCCACTCCAAAGAGTGCTGTTAGTGCATCCTTTTGGGGCTTAACCATGGTACCTTCACTTATCAGAAAAAAAGAGTAGATTTACATGATATGAGCAGCCAATTTTTGAAAAGCAAGTACATACCTGGCTGATTCCGGTCATTTTTCCAGACCATCGGTTTAGGAAAAAGAAACATTCTTGGATTAATATAGGTTCCACTGAGACAACATGTCATCCAGTTTTTAAAGTGGACTTCTTATGAAAATAACTTGGTGATCATTAAGTATAAAGCAGCAACAAATCAGGAATATTTTATATATAGACTGCTTTTTATTTATTTGGATTGTTTCTACACTCGTGTGTTATATGGCTTTGATTCTACAGTCTGCAGTGTTTGTGTCTGGACCAGACACAAACACTGCAGACTTTCTTTTTGTCTGACAACTCCTTCCTCCCATTTGTTTTTCTGTTCTAATCAACTCTGGCAGTGAAAGATGATTAAGAGTTGTCTGACTTTAAGGTGGCTGCATGAAAGCCAATTTGCTGCCAAACCAGGAAGAAAATTGGCTTAGTGATGGGGGGGGAGAAATAGTTTTACAACTCCTTTTTAGTTTCCTCATATGCTTTGAATCAACAACAAATAGCAAGGCTAATGTAAAAAGGAAGTCTGAAATTTAATTTCTTGTTATGGGAGGGAAGACTGAAGTCATTTCACCCTCTGGTGGTTGCATTCCTGACTCAAAGAAAAAAACCCTCAGCTTGTCTAATGCATTTTTAAAAAGTAATGTTTATTACAAAGAAAATGTAAAAATATGTATTTGTTTTAGGCTGATGAACTCTTCCCCCAAACGTACTTATTTCTTGTGCAAAAACAGGTGTCATAGATTAGAAAAACTAAAACGTTTAACGTCATGCTTTTACTGAATACTTATGGTGGCTAATACAGGGCAATTACCTAATACGGTAAATACTGCATGGTTATATGCTTTATTATAGGCACTGCTACAAACCCAGGGCGGATTTTTGTTACCAGTAGCAACAGTTTATGCTTTAGAAGGAACTCACTTTTATTTTATTCAGTTGGATGATTGTTTTTTTTTTCTTTTTTTAAATGTAGGTTTGTACTAATCATGCTTTTAATTCTGCTTTCTGCGATAAGCAGTTTACTGCCCATAATGCCTGCCACGCTGTTTCAACCACATGTTACAGCAGACCCAGTAGGGAGAGCGCTAGTGGAGTATAAGGAGAAGGGGGGAGGCGTCACTTGTCACTTTGCGGTTCCCGCCAGCTTGTCACAGACTCTTTCCCCTGGGAATTCACTGAACCATGCGTAATGTTAAGGTCAACACATTTAATATGTCGTAAATAAACATTTTGCTTCAGAAGGCCCTCGGCGTGACCTGAGATTTGCAACTTGTTGCAATTTTAATAATCCAGCATCGATTCGAGCAGGCAGTATTGGTGAACTGACCGTTGCATCATGACTTCAGCAAAAAAAAAACAAAAAAAAAACAGCAGTGCACCTCAGCCAAGTTAGCATTAGCACTGCGCTGTATACGGCCGTTTCAGGCATGCTTCCAACATGGTGACGTGGGCTCGAGACTCATCAGCATACTGGAAAGTGAGAATGGAGACTGAATAGCAGGCCACTGAGTCACTGCCAGTCAGCCTGAAATGTAGGCATGCTGTGTCTGGGGTCTGCTCTCTCTCCCTGTCAATAGGACGGCAATGAAAAAGGGAGAGAGAGAGAGAGAGAGAGAGAGAGAGAGAGAGAAAAGAAGTCCAAATCCAGTTTCTGGCACAGTGGAGAAGTTTCTACTTGACTCTTAATTTGTATTAAGAAGCATTCCAGCAGCTTGAAGCTTTCCGGTTTGGCAGCAGCTGCCCTTCCTTACTCACTCCACAATGGTTCTGCTAAACATGATTCAGCTCACAGTTTCACTAGGACCAACACTCTGACATAGGAGGGACCAGTGCTAAGAGCTAGCACTAGAAAGGTCAAGTGGCATATCATTTTATCCTCGTGAACTTTGTCAGTTTTAGGCAGGTGAGTTACGGTGTGTGTCCTTCTTAGTAGTTGTGTGTATTTATTTAAACATAGTCATTCTTCCATCAATTGGAAATATTTTTCAATCATCGTATGTGTTTTAGGCATGCAGGCAAAATAAATTCACACTGTAGTACTTATTTATAAACCTGCTCGATTAAAAACAATGGGAATAACTCCCAGTGGAAATCAGAACTAATGACTTTTTCCTCAAACTAATATTGTCACATTTTTGTCCGTTTGCCACCTATCATGGGAAATAAACGGCAATATTACCCAAATTTCAGCTTAATTAAAGCGCAGAGTGGAAATCGGGAAAAGAAAAGAAGAAGGCCGTTGCTTTGTGGTGCATGTTCAAAAGTAGGTCAAACTGATTCATGCACCATTGGTCGCAGAGAATTAACTGCCATTGACTGAAATTTTGGGGATTTTCTGCCCATCTCCTCATTATCGAAGCAAACAGAGCACATCCGTCCACTTGTGCTCATAGAGGAGTTTGACCTGAAGCTTTTAATGTTCTAATTTATTTAACATGGCAGTTATAGTTAGAAATGTACAAATGTATGCTTAAAAAACAGTCACATTAAATATTTATGTTTCTGGTCCTGATATTGATGGATTTATTTTAAAATCAATACCACTTATGCGTTTGTAGCTTTTGCTTTTGGATTTGAGGTACCATTTTGTAGTTTTTTTTTTTTTTTTTTTTGAAACAAAGCTCCCATGCAGTTCATACTTTCATGGTCTGATTTGGAAACTTCATAGCGTTTCAGGCTTCTAGGTCGTGCATACTGTCTCTCAGTGAAACAAGGATATTAACATATTTCAGATGCTCTTTTATTTTTTATTTTTTTAATTTTGGAAAGGAAAGAGCCTTTTGAATTGGAGCAGGGAGTAAAAAACAGCCCGCTACGGATGACTCATAAAAAAACATGATGCTTCCCTGCATCACCATTCACAAATAAAATACTTATTATTGTAATATTGTCTCTTTTTTTTAGGCCAGACCATTTGAGCTGCCATGTGAAGCATGTGCACTCCTCGGAAAGACCGTTTAAATGTCAAGTAACGGTAAGAGCCCTCACCACCAGGTTTTCTTTGGCAGATCATTTTTCTTGTTTGTTCATTTCATTTTATTTCTTGTATCCCACTCACACTTGTCCTGTGACTGCAGGCATGTACCTCTGCTTTCGCCACCAAAGACAGACTCCGCTCCCACATGATCCGACATGAAGGCAAGGTCACCTGTAGCATCTGTGGGAAGATGCTGAGTGCAGCCTACATCACCAGTCATTTGAAGACCCACGGACAGACCAACTTTAACTCCTGTAACAAAGGTTTGTCACTCATCAGAAACATATAACCAATAATCGAAATAAAGTGTTTTGATTCCTGCTATCTCTTTTACTCTAAATTATCACTGCATGTCATTGTACATATTAATCAGTATGCAAATTTGATATCAAGTCCTTCCTGAACTGTTTTGTGACTTGTCTGAACTTCGAGTGAAAACCTCTTTTGCTATAGAATGCCATGATGTTTAAATATGTAGTATTTAAACTTTTCTGTATTTTGGAGTGTGCTAATTTGAACACAATCAAATTTTATTTATGAAGCACATTTCAGAAGCAAGGCATTGCAAACTGCTTTACATCATAACAAAAAGAAAAACACAAAACCACGCAGCACAGAATCAACAATCAAAACTCTACATTAACTCAGGTGCCATCATTAAATTTGTAATTGATTGCATTTTAAATACAACTCTAAACAGGTGGGATTTTAGTCAAGATTTAAAGGAAGTCAGTGTTTCAGCTGTTGTGCAATTTTGTGGAAGTTTGTTCCAGATTTGTGGTGCAAGGAAACTGAATGCTGCTTCTTCTCGTTTGGTTCTGGTTCTGGGGATGCAGAGCAGATCAGAACCAAATGACCTAAGGGGTCTGGAAGGTTGATACAACAGTAGCAGATCTTCAATGTATTGTGGTGCTGAGCCATTCAGTGATTTATAAACTAACAACAGTATTTTAAAGCCTATTCTTTGAACAACGGGGAGCCAGTGGAGGGACTTTAAAACTGGTGTTATGTGCTCATATGTTCCTGGTTTTAATGAGACCGCGCATAATTTTGCAGTGGAAGGAACACCCTGCATGTCTTTGTAATATTTTTGTTTTTAACAAATTGAGATTTTATGTACTGATATTGAACCCTTTTGTTAATATTTTTCAGTACAGTTACAGCTGCAAGTCCTTTGGGTTATGTCTTTACCTGTGTACATATGCAAACTGAAGATTTTAGGAAAGTGCAGACTCGGTCACATTGAGTGGAGACAGGACGCAAACAGCCATTTTCAAATAATGCCGCAGTTTCTCAACTAGATTTAGTCTGGACTTTGATTCATTCGGTCCAAAATACTCTACTTTATCACAAAGAGAAATTAAATTCTACTCATCTAAATATTTTCAAAGTCTTTGTTGTTGGGAGGACCTCCATTCCAGTCTTCCATCAAATCTGAAGAGCCCTCTGACTGAAGAATGCTGCTTTTGCCGTCTCATGACTGATGTGTTGAGAGCAATGTGCTGTTTTCAACCACACAGTGTTTTGCATGTTGACTAACAGGTTATCTTATCTAACTAAAGCACCCTTTTTCTTAAAGGGGAAAATCACCAGTTTTGAACTTATGTTATTCCTTTACCAAAAACATATCTGGGGTGTCATCTCTTCATGCATGCTTGCGTCATTCTTAAATCTCCCATGGCAGCCATTCGTGGTACTAGCGGCAGCAGCATTAATGAGGGCTGAATGTAAATGTATGCTACACCTTTTGGATCCTTATTTGTGTACTTTTTGGAAATTTAATTTTCCTTCTACTTCACAATTATGCACTACTTTTTTTTTTTTCTATTCTTTTCTTTTCGGTCCATCACATGAAATCCCAATAAAATAGCTTGGGGATTGTGGTCGTTTGCTGGAAAGTTCCAGCTGTATAAACACTGTAAGAATTTGTTGTTGTTGTTATTGCTGGGCCCAAAATTAACTCTTCCTTCCGTCTGAAGGTAACGAAGTCTGCAACTCGGCCTCAGCGACACCCGTGTCCGTCTCTGCCCCCATCACCTCCGCAATGAACCGAGGCAACAACAACAACCCCGTCACCATAGCCGCACAAATGAACATTAGCACCAACACGGTCAACATCACGTCTCCCGTCAGCCTCCAGCACCCGGTCACCATCACTGGGCCCGTCAACATCGCCTCTGTGAACATCCCCGCCACGGCGCCCATGAATATCGCCCACCCGGTCGCAATAACCACCCCCATGCCCATGAATATAGCCGGTCCGCTAAACATCGCAATGAGGCCAGTCGATAGCATGCCTTTTCTGTCCCAAGTCTTGCCTTCTTCCCCACCGTGGTAAAAATAAAATAAAAAAAAGATGAACGACATCTAACTGGCCAGAAAGAAAGGGAAAATGAAGTGAAAAGAGACTCCTGTCCTCACTTTAACAGCTTCCCCATGCCCCACCTCCCCTCACCCCAAACAGTGTCCACTTCATCCAGCTTTGAAGTGCAGCAGTTCCTTGAGCTGTGAGGCCAGTAGGAGATCCCCCCAAAGTCCTAACTGTGTCCCAACTAATGTTTAGTGACTGGCTCGTGATGCAGAACAGTTAAGTAGAAATCGAGTAGGATTTGTCTTGAAATCAAGACAGCCGGAAGGCTTAGCGTAGGCAGTTAGAATGATGAAACTGTGATTTGTATCATGACAAACAGGAGGAGAGGATTCCTCGAGTTTGCTTGAGGACCCCCTATACGAAAATACAAACGTGCTTTTGTAAGGGAGACATGAAATGGACTGAAGCAATAACCAGGAATTGCTGATTCTAATCTTTTACAAGCTCTCCCGAAGCATCTGGGCGTTACTTTGTATGTAGTTTTTTTTTTGTTTGTTTGTTTGTTTATTTTGTTTTGTTTTTTTTTTAAACTATAGCTTGCTAATCACTATTTAATGTAATAGGAAATGAGTCTAGTAAAAGGGACAGCTGCTTCCACTTGCATGGAAGACTATTTTTTCACAATGTTATAGCATTTCTTTTTCTTCTCAGATAGTAAGTATGCTCTTGAGGTACAGTGACTAACTTGTACAGTTGACATAGTAATGTATTTTTCATGTTGACATTTGAATTTCTTTTGTTTTTGCTTTTTGTCATTCAGGTGGACATCTGGACACTGTTCACTTGACTATGAAATTTCTTTACTTTGTTTTTCTATTTATATGAAAACAAAGTTATTTTTTACTTTTATGTGTTTTTATTTTTTTATGAAGTCAGAATGGAATGAGTCTTGCACTGAAGGCATATGCTACATGCAGGTGAACAGCAGTATTATCAAAGATCAAACAGAGTCTTAAGTGTTTTGGTCAGCCAGCCTGCACTTGAGGGCCCTCTAGTGGCCGAGTATGTAAATCCTGGACTTGTAGTGAAGCTTTTCAGGTTGCAATTGTCATCGCAAAAGGTGGCTGATGTAGTTTTAGCGGACTCTTTTGTTACACTGTTTTTATTCATATAATTATTTATCATTACTCTGTTACAGCCCCGTGGTTAAACTAAGGAATGATCACTCAGGAAACACGCAGAAATCCCCCACCCCCAACAAACCAAGAATTTCTTTGGATCTTAGAAATTTTCTAAGCGCCTATTTGGACTCCCGAAATCATTTTTGGATTGCAGCGTTGTTGCTTTGCAAAATTACACTAACCAGGAAGTCCGCAAGCACCAGTTTTAAGCAGCCGTCCATTTGAATCGATCTTTTACTGTACAATGACATAAATGCTGTACATGTTTTACATACTCGGGCAAGTTCGGTCTCGGTTTGCACAGGCATATGGCCTGAGAACTGGACAAGTTTGCTACAAAACACGATTTTGTGTCCATTCAAAAAAAAAAAAAAAATGGGACAAGATTGACGTTGCATGAACATCCCAACTCCTTCCCTCCCTGAACACTGTAGCTGTTGAACATGAACTATTTTTTTAACGAATGCCATGTTGTCTCAGCAGTGTTGCAGCTCTTTGAGTTGATTCAGTTTATACAGAGAAATGCAATATGCATGTATGTCTTTTCCCCCCAACCCCAAGTTTTTTTTTTTTTTTTTTTTTTACAAAATGTTAGTGTAGTTTTTTTTATTCTTATGCATTTACGTAGATACACTATAATAGCCTGTTTGCCAAATTTGAAACAATTATAATGTGACGACCTGAATTATTCTTGTGAAATTGAACATCTCATTTATTTTAAAAGAGGAAAAAAAAAAGTTAATTGGAAACACCAGGAACCTTGTGAAAAGCAGTTGAATGTATATCTTTGTACAAAACTTTTAGTTCCAAGGATATGGTAGTTACAATAGATGTGAAAGATAAGAACCTTTTTTATAAATCTTTTGTATTAGAACATTAACATTGATAATTTTGTATATATGAGAGGCTAGGCTTTCTGATTAGCAGAAAGATAAAACATTCCTACATTTTTTTAAATGTACGTTTGTCAAATTATTAAACATGCGCAATGTTATGTGCCTTTTATTTGGGTTGTCTAAATAAAAGAAAACTATCAAATGTGCTTATGTATGAAGTACTGTTTGGTATAAAGTCAGAGATAAAGTTGCGGACATTGTTTGGAAGCATCAAATGTTTTAAAACTTCCTGGTAGATGTAATAAAACGCAGTGGCCTATTGGCAGCAGATTCCAAAACTTCCCAAATTTTCGGCATACTTAGATTCTATGCCTCTCCACTCTTTATTCAGACTCCCTGGATTTCCAAATGAAATGGAAAAGCTGACAAAGACTCTTCTGATATTTCTTGTCTTCACACCAAGAATGTAACCGTTTGTTTTACATATCCTGGACACATCTCTTGAAACATCAACTCAGGCCTTGTTCTTCCTTTTCTTCAAACCATCCCAAAAATATTGTGTTCCTTCGTCATTAAGACAAACATTTTAGTTAACAGTAGGAAGTTGCATATTGCTGCCATGTCACAGAGAATATAGTTTTACTGAATAGTAGAACAGATAACATGTTTGTACAATGAGCTGGTTATGACTTCCTGCTCCTGTTCTTATCGCAGCAGCGCTCCATAAAACTTTTTCCTCAAGACGCTTTAATCTAGGCTGTGTTGTTTATGAGGTTTGTGCAGCATTTCATCTATCCCGCTGTGAACTTGAAGTCTCCTGAGCAGATCCAGGCACAGAATTGGTATTCTTGATTCAGCTTGCTCACTGCATCCGATGAAAGACTGAAAAACAAGCTGCCTTTTATTATTCTGCGGGCTGATAAAAGATATGCAGCATCTTGCTAGTCTGCTCCTTTCATTTCTTCCTTTCAGCAGACAAGTGGCTGCAGTTCCAGTTGTGCATCCATTTCCACCCAGGTTCTCAGCAACACTCCTCTTTGTCCAAATGGGATCTGATTTATTCCTCCTATGTCCCCTGCAATGCCTTTTTTGTCCTAAAACGTAATCGGAAGCAAAATCATGTGGCGAGTGATTAAAAACAGTTTCTTTACACGTGTGAGTAGACATAATTTGTGAACACACCATCTTCAGTGCCGATTGTACAAACCACAAACAATATAATAACAAAATTAGCCCTTATTGTTTCTTTACTTTGAATATTAATCCCATCCACACTATGGGATTAATAGTGTACATGTACATGTTGACCACCTGCTAAGAGAAAGGCACAAGACGAAGGCACTGATTCAAAAGCTAAAGATAAAGGAGACAAATTTAAACCCCAACATTTCCTAACATTTATTGGATCCTGAAAACAAATGAAGAAAATGGAGGAACATATTTCAGTCTCTGACAGCAGGACTTCCCCGTTCAGCAGAAACGGCTGCTTGTGGGTGGTTTGCATAATTATTCACCTATTTCTGGCAGTTTTGATCACTCTTTCATGCACACTTCCTTCAGCTGCGATGCGTTTGATCGTTTCATGAGGTGACTTTCTCCCTCCCTCCCTCTCACGATAATTCAGCAGAGTTCAAACCTTGCTTAATTCTAGATATTTCATCAGACTAATATACGAACTCCGCAACACAAAATCTGTTTTGCTGAACCTTGAGCTCCACTGTGCAGTTTTGCCTTTTTGAAGACGCCCTCTCAGCATATAGGAAGGTCACAGTTGGGTGCAATGGAAAAACATCTGGTATTACAGTTGTGTCAATGCAGGTACGCTTACTAGTGGACAGACTGTAGTATTTAATGTCAGTCGGAAAAATGTTCTTTTGTTTTTGTGTACTATCTGCAAGTTTAAAGTTGTGTGCGTTCAGGGATTTATTTAAAGTGAACAATCTTCTTAAAGTAGATGTATCATTTTTTTAAAAAAGAATTTGAAAGAGATTGGGTTGCGTTTCAAAATCAAGGTCTGGTGAGCAATTTAGTCCACAGATTTTGATACACCAAGAATTACAATGTTTAAGTCAATATTTGGCCACTAGATGGCAGAAAACGGGTTCAAGGACAACTCACTTCATAAGCTTCTGCTTTAAAATAAACAAAGGCTGGGTATATAAAAGCCATAAGTTTTTTTTTTTAATGTGCTAGAAGTAAGGTATGATTGAATCATGAGCATTTTGAATTTAAGGTGAGGATGATTACCTAAATTACTTTTGGTTGTTAAACTCTAAAATATTCAGCAAGATTATTAAAATTTTTGCTTTGATTTTCTTCTGAATTAAAAGCTCATATTAAGATTATAATGCCTTTAACCAATTTGAGAAAGCTCACTTGGGGAGGTAGTTGATGTTGCAAAGAAAACAGCATAAAGGACATTTTTAGTTTTTGGAGATATGTTCTACATACAACCAAATGACACTAAAATAATGGGTTAGGCCATTGTAATGTTGGTTCCATTTTTGGGGAAAAGGCATAAAATTTCAAGCCTGAGAATGCAAGTAGGAAGTATGGGGGCGGCAACATCATGCTGTGTGGGCGATTTGCTGAAGGTACATAATCAGAAAAGAGTGCAACATGGAAATATCTAAGCGTCATTTCAAGATATCAGCCAGGAAGTGCAAGGTTGGGTTCAAATAGGTTTTCTGAATGGAGAATAACCAAATCAATCATATGATTTCCAAGGAACAACAGAGTCTTATGTTTTGGTTTGACTTTAAGAAATGTCCTTATTGTTCTAGAAAATAGAAACAATTTGGGGAATTCAACTATTCAAAAACAACTGAATGGGCAATGAAGAAAGAAGAGCTATTTGGCTTTTTTCTTTATTTTTTACAATGTTCAGAGTGAGATCTTATCAGACGTAAAACAGTAATTACCCGTAGCTCTCCAGTAGGTGGCGGTGTTCATTCATATTCTGTAGACTCACTGCTGCAATTCCTGGCGTTTGCCAAGCATTATTGTTTTTGTTTGTTTTCAGTAAAAACTAATGCCAGAATATTGTCTTGTATTTATTCAAGATGGCAAAAAAAATCACACTAAATTACATTAGTTGCTATGTCTGATGGATGCATTCAACTACAAGCCACAGCTGTCTTAACGCTTTAACCTTCCTCTTTTTCATTGAAGCATTCCAATCAAACAGACTATAGATGGTTTCGTACACGTTTGAAAAACACTTTATAAATGCACATTTTCAATTGATGGAAATGTGATTGCTTGGATTTCTGCTCCTAAAACAAAACAAATTTACTTTCAGCACAATGTTACTCGAATACTCTCTGAATCTGGTACCTGGCCTTGAAAATGCATTTGACTTCTAAGTAGTCAAATGTACTCCTTGTGACCTAATCAAAGTTGCGCCACCCTGAGTGTCTCCGAGGAACTAACTGCAGACTGGGACAAAATGAAAACATCTGCGTTCCCTGAGGCAACTACCACTGATACGGCTCGGAGACAATTGTGTCAACTGTGAGTGACTGTGTGAACGCTTTGAATGTGGAAGGGGACCTTGCTCCACCCACGTCCCTCGGTCTTGCTGCCTTCAAGTGACACACAGGGCGCTTCCTGAATTGTAACACAGAGCGGGTGGGTGTGGCTCTAAGACAAACAGTAAAGCAAGTGTGCACATACCCTTTTTCTCGAGAATGTCTCTCAACTTGGATTCCAGTCATTGCTTTCACACCCAAAGGGAGTTACTAAAGCAAAAAAGAATACTTGGCATAACTGACTGGCAATACTGATTATAAATCTTTATACGTATGCCTCGGATTAAGATTAATGCATGCTTTTCAGACATTTTTCAGACTTATACAAAGTTACCTGCCTTGATCATTGTCCAGATTGAAAACCATTCTGACGATTCCCTATAGACTGAATTCCATCTCTTTTTAATATAGAGTTATTAACCGCTATGGGTTATATGATTAAAAATGCATTCAAAATTGGTGAAATAAGAAAAGTTTGTGGTTTTTAAAAGCATTTTGATTGCAACTTGGATGGGTTCTGTCAGTTGGCATGCTCGAGAAACCTGCACAAACAGGTAAGTATTTGAATTATGCAAAGTCAGTACCTGCACTAAAAACTTGTCTTCATAGGTTTCAGCAAGTCAAGTGTGCTGCTTGAACTTTATTCATGTTTTGTAACAACTGCAAACTCCCAATTTGGCCATTTGACGTGCAGGCCAACGAAAAATATGCGACGCCAATGAAAAACTGGTAGGTGGTTTTCAACATCTTTTGTCAAGTGAAAAACTAAAATGTCTCGCATGTAATTTTATGCAGCCCCCTGATCTAGAAACTGACATTTTCTTTTGCACATCATTTTGCATACAAACCAAACACGGTGGTGGCAGAATCATGCTTTTCTTCTGCAGGAAAAGGTTATCTGGCCAGAGTTGATGAGACGTTGACTGGAGCTAAATACAGGGCAACTCCGAAAGAAGACGTGAGTGTGGGATTAACTAGAGCACCAAAAACTTTCTTTTGGAGTCCTCTGCTTCCTTTAATGGGGAATCCCCACCCTTGTAAATCCTGTTACCGAAAAAAAAAAAAGACAGGATCAGACCGTTGGGAGTCTAATTTAATCTCTTGCTGTGAGCTCCACTCTACATGTGGCGTCTCAGCCGTCCAATAGCGCAACAGTTTAGACAGCTTAAGAGACCGTCATGTTGGGAAAGGATCACGCTGTTCTCAGCTGAGTTGTCAGTGAGCAGTCAGCTGTCGGATCTCTCCCTACGCTTCATTTTTTTGATGTATAATGCAGGTACTTTTTGGTTTGGTTGCATAATGCCTGTTTATTACTGTACTGTGTAAAGGCCCGTTAGGATAATGAAATCCTGGAAAGAACACAGAACATGGAGGCAAGGTGGCACAAGTGGTGAGACAAAAATGTCTTTGTTTTTAGAGCCATGACTTTTGTACAAATATAGCTTATAGAGATTATTAGCAATAAAGGAAGTGTTTTAAATTTTAACTTTTACCATTTGAAACTTTTCACCATCTAACAAATTATCCTTAAGACGCCTAACTATATAAAGAAAAATCAAGTTGCACAGTTCTTAGTGAACAATCTATTCCCATAATTCACTGTCATATTTCAAATCTAACATGCTCGAAAACATTTTGCGGTATTTCCATGTGCCTCGTCATTGATCTGACTTGGT